GGTAGCTTAGCCGCAATTTGTTGGGCCTAAGAAGCATCTAAGTGATAAGATTTCTGGACGGAGAAGAAATCTCCATTAAGTCGTAAAGTTTATCCATAGACTAATTCGGTACAAGACGTTCTAGGGTCAGTTTTGATTGCTATACTGATGTCAAGCAGTACCATTGGTAAGGCTTCAGTCCAGTTGAGTGCATCAACTGCACTAAGGGACGTCTTGAGCTGCCTATGGAAACGCTCGACATTACCGTTCGAAGCAGGATGGTAGGCGATGGTGCGAATGCGATGAGTGCTTAACACTTTGCGCGTCTCTAAGAACGTGCTAGATTCAAACTGTGGGCCTCTATCAGTAGTCACCGTTACAGGGAAACCGTGAGCAGCGACCCAACGTTCAACGAAACCTCGGGTGACTGTTTCGGCTGCGACGTCTGGAATCGGAATGGCTTCGTGCCAACATGTGTAGCGCTCTATCATGGCCAGGATGTTGACCATACCCTTAGACGGTGCGAACAGTCCAACTATGTCGAGATGGACATGTGCAAAATGATCCGAAATTGAAGGAAACCGGCCAATTGGAGGAGACACGTGTTGCTGAATCTTGGCCTTCTGACAATTTAGGCAACTGCGTGCCCAGTTTCTTATGTTGCGCTGCATACCAGGCCAGGCATAGCGCTCTGAAATGAGCTTAACGTTACCTTGCTACCTGGCTGAGCGATGTTTGAAGAGTATCAAAGACAGTGCAAGGAAAATAATCGGGAACGATTGAACCAAGACGTCCAGTGCATGTGTCGTAAACGATAGTGCCATCGGATGACGGTAACGGGTACGAAGAGATTTTTAAAGACGAATTTGATAAGGTGGATTGACAATCGGTGTCGGCTTATTGTGCCGCCGCCATGGCAGAGAGATTGATTGCCTGCCCGGCAATGTTAATTTCAGGGACGCTAAAAAGGGCGTCAGCAACTACGTTATTTTGATCTGAGATGTGCCGTAAGTCAGTAGAAAATTAAGTCACGAAATCCAGCTGACGGACCTCACGCAGTGAATGTCGAGCTGATTGCTTTCGGAAGGCGTTACTAATCGGTTCATGATCAGTGAAGATACTGCAAGTGTTAACTTCAGAGACGTGCCGGAAACGTCGAACGGTAGGGTAAACGGCAAGCAATTCGCGACTGAACGTGCTGTACTTGATTTCGGCAGGTTGTAAGCGTCTGGAGTAGAAAAAGTGGTTTCCAACTTCCATCTGAAACTTGTTGTAGAACGGCACCAATGGCTGTGTCCGACGCGTCAACAGCAACGCTGAGCTGCGCGTTCTTATCAACGTGATGAAACATAACGGCGCCAGTCAAGGCCTTTTTACTGACCTCAATGCTTCGGCGGCGGCAGCGGTCAGTTCCACGTTGCCGTTTTTACGTCCACGAAGCAGCTCGGTAAGTGGACTTAACAAGTCAGTGCAGTGTGGAAGGAAACGTCGGTAGTAGTTAATCATGCCGTTAAAACGGCGAACAGCGGCCAGAGTAATCGGAACTGGGAAGTCTCTGACAGCGCAGACTCTATCGTCTAGAAGCCGTATACCATGCTGATTGACTTGGTGTCCGAGCAATTCGATGGTGGATTGCTGGAATACGCATTTGTCTGCGTTGATGGTAAGGCTATTAGCGGCTAACCTATCGAAAAGGATCTTTAGGTGTTTCGCATATTGTTCTTCGGAGGCGCTGGCCACTAAAATATCGTCGATATAAGGGTAGACGGAATCGAGACCTATGGTAACGGAATCGATGAATCGTTGAAAAGTCTGGACTGTATTGCGAAGACCGAAGAGCGTACGCAAAAATTCGAAGAGCCCAAACGGCGTGATTATGGCAGTCTTCGCTATCTCTTCCTCAGCAACTGGGATCTAGTAATAAGCGTGAATCAGATCGATTTTCGAGAACACACTGGTGCCGCGCAGGCTTGCCCTGGTCTCCTGAATGTGAGGAATAGAGTACCGGTCTGGAATAGTTACGTGATTGAGCGCGCGATAATCGCCACATGGACGCCAGTCTCCTGACTTATTGGGCACCATGTGGAGCGACGACGCCCACGGCTTTTAGACGGGCGAACGATGCCTAGCTCAGGCATATGCCCGAATTCTAAGCGGACAATCTTCAGCTTGTCGAGGAGCATTCGCTTGACTTTAGCGAATACCGGCGGACCTTTGGTAACGACGTGATGGTTCGCAGCATTGGCTACAGATGGTAAAGGTGCCATTGAACGAAGGATTTGCTAGAACTTGCTATTAAGCATCTGACTTATAGGTGAGGTTGATTGGTTGGCGTACACAGGACTGCTTGACTCAATGTCGGTCGAAGTACCCATAACTGCCAGATTCGTTTGGCGATCGATCAGACGACTGTGCTTCGCGTCTACAAGGAAGTCGAAGTACTGCAGGAAATCCAAACCAACGATTGGCGTCGGGACATCCGCAACGTGGAAAACCCATTTAAAAGAGCGTCGTAGGTTTAAGTTAAGCGTGAGCGAGCACTGATCGTACACATGAATGGCCGTTCCGATGGTTGCGCGCGGTGAGCTAATCGCCTTCACATTCTGGTCCTTTTTATCGCGAGGAAGGACGCTAACTTCGGCGTCAGTGTCCACTAAGTAGCGGACTCCCGTTACTCGATTGTTGACGAAGAAAACGTGACTGTGACGATTAGCAACGTCCGTCGCCCCTACCTGCTGATCGGCCCGTTTCCCTGTGACTTGCGCGAGAAGGAGCAGGGTGGGCGACAGGATTTGGCATTCTCACCAAATCGTCTATGCTGCCAGCAGTGGGTGTCTTAGACGGGAATCACGAAGGAGACTTGGAACGTGACGAACGGATTCGGCCGCTAGAGCGGTTCTTTCCTAAACCTACTCTTTCGTCGGGTCGTTTACTTAACATAGCTACGGTTGATGCTGATTGCGCGATGTTATCTTGCGGCGTTGATTGGATATGCGCGATTCGGCTGCTAGCTTCCCAGATACGGTCAGCCGTGTCGGTTAGCTGAGATGGAGACATGTCTGCATTAGCGTAAAGGATGCTACATATCTCGTGTGGGAGGCAGCTTAGTCATATCTCTTTGAGAAATGAATCACCAACCTTGACTAGTTTGGCTAGACTCTGCATCTTATGCAGGAGCTGAGATGGTTCCGAATCACCTAGCTCTGTTTCGTTAAGCAATTTCGCGATGCATTGACGGTCGGAAATACCAGTTCCTTTTAAAACGGCAGGTTTGATCTCCGCGTAAGTCTTCCGTGCTTCTGGAAAATCATCGAGATCATCGACGACCTGCAGAGGAGGTGCTGCAACGACGTGGTGAAATTTGACGTTATCAGATCTGACATGAGGCAACGAAAAGATGGACTCGAGTTGAGGGAACCAGCTTTTCGGGTCACCTTCACAGCAAGGCGGAATTGATACGATTACACCACTAACTGAAGCTTCAGCGTCAGAACGTTTAACGTCCATAACGAAAAAATTGCAGTTAGCAAAAATAAACCAGTTGGTAAAATATATCGCAAATGAAACAAACGAGCAGGATGTACGGTCAGAGCTGCAAAAAACGTCAGTAATGGGCTTACCGCAAGTATTCGTAGGCGGTGTCACCAGTTATAGCGAAATCGATGGACGGACGCTATATGTGTACAACTAACCAATCGATGGAAAGACAGGTAAAAATAAGGGGAGGTATACGTTTATTGCTGGAACATACATGCTTGCTAAGCTAAATAAAGGTACCCAATGGAAGCTAGCTAGGGAGCGGAAAGAAGAGAGGTTCTGGTAGCGTAGGAGATTGACTGCGGCGGCGGAATTCCGGAAGTGTGTGTATATAAACCAAGTGGTCAGCAAGCGACAGGCTGCTTAATTTCTCTTGGTAATATTTTACACATCATGCAGGGAAATCTCCAGGTCACTACGCATTTCAACCGTCTTTTTGCCCCCTAAACTCAATTCACCCCAACCTTTACGTATCAATGAAGATGGAACAAGAGGACAGCCGGCAGTTTTTGAACGCTCTCATCAAGCGGAGGTCCGATGTCACACTGCAGCGCACTGTGTACAGAAAAGCGGCCTGGTGGGATAATACCTACACTATTCCAACTTCGCCCCAGTTGCATATAAGCGCGCTCTTGTAAAAACTCTTCTACAGGGCCGGGCGTATTTACAGTCTTCACGAACCGTTGCTTGCGGTCCATCGCCTGTGTGTGTTGGCTGAACCACATAACCAACGTTGAGGTCAGACAACGTGTCTTGACTGGCGACAGCCACTTTCTCGCGGCGCTTGTCTCGCTGCACCAACTACGAGGGCTCGGATACGTACTTTGTATACCCGTTCAACGTCTTCCGCGGTGTGCCTTGTTTGCGGTCGCTGAACAGGCTTGGAAGAGGCGACGTGGTGGACAGCCTACAACTTAGAGAAACAGGATGAAAAAGTTTACAAAATCACTAACCACGGTTGGTTCCTCCCGACTCCCTGGATGGTGTCCCAAAGATGCTGAGTGCCATTGGTTGGATACCATGGAAGTCATGGCTGGAAATCGAACTCAGTGGCGGGCGTGTATCTCTGCTTGTTGCGGTAATTCCCCTTGCTTCCTCCAGTAAAAGACGTCAAAAAATCCAACAACTGTGAGTGGAAAAATGGACAAAAATTGTTTTCTTCTTTTACTCTAACCCTGTTTTCCTATTCCGCCATGGTCCCGATGGCACAATATCTGTACACAGATTGTGGTATATATATATATATATATATATATATATATATATATATATATATATATATATATATATATATAATGGACAATGACTGCACGCATGGCACAGTTCAACGCGTCTGCGGCTATCACAGTTTCCAAGATAAGATCATACTGCGTCCTCAGGTGATCGAGGCATGGCTTATTGTGACCTGCTCAGATTATCTTTGGCATTCTGACCGCGGTACTCATGCGGTAGGAATAGGTTGTAATGGATGATAAGGATATTTTGTGAAGATTCGTTGCAGTTAGCCTCAGGCAGACAGCCACCACACATCCAGGAAAGCGGTTCTAAGGATGTTAGCGTTGCAGCATCTTTGGGTGGTAGCATCTTCTCGCTTGCTTTGGTGTTCACTTGGACTGGACGCTAACAGTTTTTGTCAATTATAAAGCAGAGAAACGTGATTGAATTCCTTAATAATACACATTCCTTATGTCGGGGTCTGGATTCACATTCTTCAACACAGTGAGGAATGATCCGGCTTCTAGAATAGGTCATTAGCACTGTCCCCTGCAAGCAAAATGCTGGTATGGGTCAGAAAGATCTAGCTTTGCGTATCACTTATCCCCATTCAGTTTTGCGAATACATCATGAGGAAGCCGTAAGGGGTGTTGATGAGCGTTCAGTGCATCTATACATTGGTGTTTGACCATTTTGCTTTCTGATCACAACAATGAGTGCCGCCCAAAGCGAGTAGTTCACCGGATGGATAACTCCTGCTCTATCTAAGGGATTCAGTTCCTGGTCAGCCATTGGTGTTTCTGAGTAAGGTACAGGGCTTCTCATGCAAAACAGTGGGACAGCATCGGGCTTGAGGCAATAAAGCCTTTAATTTGTTGCACTTATCGAGGCCTTTCCGAAAGATTGTTGCATGTTTCTCTCTTATGTGCTCGATATCTACTGTTTTGAAGCTGTTGGCTTGTCTAACTGCATACTTGCACAAATCTGGTTATAGATCGGGACATCAAGGAGGTTGAAACGCTCGATTCACTTTAGTTCCTGAAAATCCAACTTCTGATGCCTTGTGAAGACAATTATTCCTCATTCAGTGATATCGTTAAAACGACACATTCGATTTCACCAAACAGTTTCAACTTGGCACTTGATGCGCTCTGCGCTTGCAGGTTGCTTCTTTGAATATCGGGCGACCCGACGATCCTCCACAACCTTTCAGATATAACTTGTGTCTGGCGCCTTATCAGTTTGCAAGCGCGCTTGTCTACTGTTGCTGTAGCTAGAGATTTACTTTCTTTGATCTATGACATTTTGGATAGACATACCATTCACTCCTTTTACGAACTAGCCGTAATGCTTCCTTAGGATATCATGAGCTGGCCCGGAAGGTGGTTTGGGTCTGCATTGTGTCCACCTTTCTGACATGTGGTTGCTAGATGGACACGATTTCACCAAGTGCCAGTTTCTTACATTGCCAACAGGCTGCCGGTGACTTACCTTGAGGAAGTTTCTTGTTGTCAATGTCTGGAAGCTTGCTCCTGTAAATCTGCTGAACTGTGAAGCCACTGGAATGTGTCCTCTTATGCTTGACTATGGCTGTCTTGTTATAAAATGATGATCCTTAGAGCCTCTGCAGTGACAGTTTGCAGTATGATGCTGGGGTTCCGCTTCAGTTATCCGGACATTCCGGTTCTTATCACGATATTCTCTTGAGGCTGTAGGCTATACACTAATGTCAGGCGAACATATTTTCAGTTAGGAACTTTGGCTTTAACTTGTGACACTCGCTTCGCTGGTTCTGCCTAGGCGCTCTTGAGCAAAACGAACTCGATCTATCTGTAGTGCACCATATTTCTGAGTCTTCGCAACAACTTTGGTAGTTCTAACGCGTCTTCAAGCCTTGACAGCCCCGATAAGAAAATATCTTCATAGCGCTTGAACCGTGCGTCGAAAATCAGCCTTGAATCTGGATCGAGGTCGCCTTTAGCGTCAAATACGGCAATAACTGAAGACTTAGTGTTTTGCATGACCGAGGACTGGAACAATAGTATGAGTGCGAGTCTCAATCATTCGCAGCTGTACGACTGTTGTGGAAAAACAACTTTCAGATCTTCCGTTAAGATTGATCAGGTTTCCATCTGTCATCGGTTGTTTCTGCTGACAGCACGGGTAGTCGATACAAATATTCTGGTTATCAAAATTTTCAACTAAGCCCCAAAACTTATAGCTATCAAAACGTGTTTGCCTATATAGCCCAAAAGAAACGACCTACTTAAGGTTAAATGTTACCAAAATTTGCCCGAGGCCGTAGAATCCTCACGTTGGTTGGCTCCGGGACAAAAGTCTTGTCAGTGGCTGACTCCAACGGAAGGGATCTCTCATTGATTGGCTCCTGACCGGTGATCTTCCGTCTCGTTCGAATCCGCGTAGGGGCAGGCGTCCCCGCGGTATACTCAGCCCACGCACGACCGGTGGTGGTAGCGTGGCAGCGAAGCGTCGGTAATGTGCCGGCGCATTGCTAATGGCTTTCTTTTACTGACTCCTAGCCTAATGGTAACCTGACGGCGCCGGTTCGAGTCTGCCTAGGGGCAGGGCGATCCTCGTAGTATCCTTAGCTCACATGCGACCGGTGTTAGTTGCGCGGCAACGAAGCGTCGGTGCTGACTTCCCGACGTACTGCTGGTGCCTTCTTTCTCGGGAATCGTCAGCAACGTGTATTTCATTTATCTCCTTTGAGGCTTGAACCCGCTACCCTATTCTTTCAACTTCGAAGCACAATGACGATCGACGTATTTTTCACTAGAAATGCCATAGCACAGCTCGCTTCCCACTGACCTGCAGGTTATTATGGTGCAAAGTAGCCTCCCCCTAAACACAGATTTATCAAACTTAAGCCACCAATCAATTTATGACAGTATAGGCGATGTGGTCTCCGTGCTGATTACAAGAGTGTAGTAGTGGAATTTAACTGATCATGTCTTCTTTGGTGTGTTTGGTGTAAAATCGAGGATATTCATCATTACTATTAGTAAGTTGAATTCTTCACAATTAGACTCATTACAAACTACAAAGCACTAGGTGTTCGTCGTCCCCTTTCGGCGGGAATCGTCAGAAGTGCGTGTTTCATCTGTTTGCGCCGGTGATGACCGTCAAATCGTAAACCTGTGTTCGTAATTTCAACTTCAGTGGGGGACATATTTCGTGCGCAACGCTGACGATTCCCGAAAGGATGAAACTGTCGTGAAATCCTTTGATGGCAACCTGACTAAGCCTAGCTACGATAATTTTAACTTCGCCATCTGACCCCCAACCGTTCCTTGAAATACGAGTCCTCAAATGAATTTGTGTTATGAATTCTGTGTTTAACTTACTGGTCAACTTCACGAATATCGGTTCCCCTAGTTCGCACTGTTTTCATTCCCGTGTCTCATGAGTTAACGTTGCCAATATCCTCGATATAAACTACCAGATTTTTACCAGCATCTTCGTCTTTCTTTGTCTGACGTATTGTTGACCTACATCGTCGACTATCGATTCTTCCATCCCACTATTTGTCACGTCCTATACGTCAATTATTTTCGATTTTCCCTCGTTTTTCTTTCTCATCTTCATAATTTTATCAATTTTTAAGTTGGTGATATGAAACGGGACAAGCGAATCTACTCTTGGATGAAGAAATGCAACGTTACGTTTTTGGTACATCTCAACCACTGAACCACTACACCTTTACAAAGCATTGCACATTACACTTCTCGTTCCATTCGTATGATTCTCTTTTGCTACAATGTTCATCCACGTTTTATTATTTGTGTCCCACACTATTTGCCTGCCTTCTGTCTCCACACATTCTACATTCTCATTAATTATCGGCCATTACACACTATTTTTGTGTTCTGTTGTGAACTAGTTTGATTTTGTTTTCTCGTTTTTGCGCCGCAACTCGGGACTTGTTTCGCACTTATGTTGTTGATGCCTGTCTGACCAGGTCCGATAAGGTAGAATTCCACAGATGCCGCTTATTTTTGTGGTATTAGGTTCCACAGTTTTACCTCAGAGTCAGTCCGCTTCTTGTTCAATCAGATTGCACTTGATATCTCAGTGCAAAAATTTCAAGTCCTAGCGACCGCGGCATAAATGATCAATTCACCACGTGACTAATCATTTGAATTTCATTCACCGAATTACGACCTGATGTGAACTGTTTACTTGACTTAATTTCACACCACTTGTAGCACATTCTTCGTGGGGGCGCGAGCTCCAGTTCCATTCTCTCGGCCGCTTTTTTCCATCCCGATTCGTTCGTTGCTTTTGGTAGAGTCAAAGCGCGCAGCTCATTCTGACTATATACACGGCGGGTTTCCGCTTTGTTTCCGTTCTAGAACTACGCCCGTCAGTCTGAGGCGGATGGACACAACTCTCACGTGATCTCGGTTGAAAAGCTGAACAGTTCCCGTCGTGCAGCGGCTGCATCCAAGAAACGGTCGAAAATTCGTCACAAGCACGGCATGGTAAGTTGCTCATCTGTGTACTCTTCAATTAGTGTAGTAGTTCTTCCTGTTAGCTACAGTACTTTCTAGCCTGGTTTCACGCTTTGTCACTCGAGAAACGTCATTTAGATTGCTACTTGTACCCACAAGAGTGTCCCTTTATCCACGAGGTTGTATTGCGGGCGAATCCTCTGGCAAGCAACACCGAAGTACGGTTGATCTAGTGACCACGACTCGCGTCGCCAAGATAGTAACAAATCACAGTGTCAAATGAAATGTGACATAACTGAAGTTGGATACAGAGAAATGGAGCTAATATAGAAAACGAGCTAACATTGATCGGGTTGGAATGTAGGAAGCTAGATACAAAACATCAAGTATGGGAACGTCATGAGTCCCTGATTGCGCCACATTAGGTGTAACCTATAACCCCTAATGTGTCCCACCACTTGCTCTCCCCGTCCACGAAGACGGCACGTATTAACCGAACTAATTGTCTCAACTCATTTCTTAATGCTATTCTACTTCATCATGCATCGGCTATCTGTCGGTTTTGCCCTACATGCATTCACAAAGCATCACCGTTATAAGGCATCAACAGTACACCGGTACGCAGTACCGACGCTTTGCTGCCGCGCAACTAACACCGGTCGCATGTGGGCTAAGGATACTGCGAGTGTCGCCCTGCCTCTACACAGGTTCGAACCCGCGCCGTCAGATTACAAGCTCGTTACCTTCAGGCTGCGGGTCGGGCCATTCGTCGAATCGATTTCTGTGGGATGGGAATATGTGCGTACCCCTATATCTTGCTCAGTGCAAGTTTAGGTTGCTTATGTGTCGTGCTCTTCTGAGCTTTCTTCCTCGCACATTGGATAATTTAAGGCATGGCAGAAAAGATGACATTATTTTTCCTCACTCTAGGACTTCCAATTTATGTTGATTTTACGGAACCAGAGAAGTCGGTTCTGGCGCCTTACACACCAGTTTTTTATTCTCCTATATTTACAAATATGTAACCAAATAATCGGGCACTTAGGCAGTGACATTATGCAGATTCGTCATAATCTTTTCTTTCTTACCTATCAATGGTCTTAAGCTATTAATACTCGGTTTTAAAGTATCCTCTGTCCTTGGTGTGAGTGAGCGACACACCGCCACCTGGGGCTGTAGTTACATATAAGCCTCCGGTAGATCGCCACAATTCCCCTGGGCCAGCCGTGCTCCCTCCGGCTGTTTTAAACGATAGGGGCATATCTTTCATTCCTGATTTAACGCCCCTTCTGCAGGTTTGGATCACGAAAGTAATGCTATCCGCTCGGAGCTTATCGGATGTTGTGCTTGTCTTCAAAAAGTGTTGTCGAACAGTATGCTCCAACCATTGATGAATTATCCTTATCTGCGTTGTGTCCAGAGCTTTTACAGCCTTGCTTCTGCGAGGATTCAATGGAGTACGCGCGCTGCACGTACGCATAAAGCAAGCTGGGTTCGCTCAGATCGAAACTGTGTTGATCACTTTTTACGAGTGGTCAAACATCTGCACATTGTCAAACGTTCGATCAGCCAGTTACCTCAGTCTTTTTAAGCTCACTGGTTTGGTTTAACTTATTTGAGAAAACCGTTCTCTAGAGTATATTTAGTTAGCGCCCGTATATATATATATATATATATATATATATATATATATATAATTGATGGTATTCGTATCTGGTTTTGCCTGTCATTGCAACTGCGGACAACCACATGATGCGACTACTGAGGGACCGGCAAGAGATCCATCCGTACACGCGTTATGTTCACTGTTTGTTCTTAGAATGGGAAGCATGTGGATAGGAGGCAAGACTGAATCAGAGCCGGTCCGCAATCCTTCATCTTGCATCTCCATCATCCGTATAAAGGGAAACTCGCCTACCAGACGTACACAGGGTGGTGACTGGACCGTAGCCCATTCCACACTAGATGGAACCACTGTTTCGAGTGAAGTCTGAATGAGCTCTATGGGTTCATTTTCAGCATTTACATTGCCGATGCCGATAAACTGGCTGATAATATCAATATACCTTACATCAGTAAGGAGAAAAGTGGAATATATGCACAGTTGTCACCCCGACAAGCGCTCGTGCAGCATATTTACGACTTTTGCCGGGTCGACAGGCAAACGTGCTTGATGACGCAAGACAGTATTACGATACGATGGAGTGAAGAAGAACAAAATCTTAACTTTCAAAAGCGTAGAAGAGAGTGCTTTTGAAAGGTCCGTCAGTATCTTAAAAGGAAACAAGATATCTAGAAATGACCGAATCCACTAAAGTATCACTAGACAAGCCACTGCATCTATTGATGTACTTTATCAGTCGTACCAGTAAGATGTAGTTTTTGTGAAGCAGTTTAGGAAAAATGACATTGGTGCAATCTAACCAATGGGAGGTAATGCATGATATCATAAACCTAAATATTAAAGTACTGAGTACTTAAAGTACCTTAAGTTTAATCACGTAATGATAATTTTCTGACTTTTTGAAAAGCTTCACATACATGCGTGGACCAGGAGTGCTTTTGGGACAAAAGGATACCGAGTTACTTGATGATAGATCATCTGGGTATGGAATTCCCGTTCACAGATAGATTGATGGTGATATCTTTAACCGACAGCAACTTATTGCCACGAAGAAGAGAAAATATTAACCTCGCTAAATTTTGAAGCGTCGAGAGTAAGTGATCTGGGTGAGCACCTCTCCGCTAGATCTTCTGATCCACATTGACGCGATGAGGAATCCTGCATGGTAGGAGCCATACACCCCCAGCATAACAGCGTCAGCATATTTGCATCCTATAAACATAGTTTCTATACACAATACGTTCGACATATAAGGAAAATAGAAAGAGTGATGGGATCGCTCTGCAAAACATCACAGAATTTCTTACCGTTCACTTGCTGGAGTGAGTACGATACGTAAAATAGTCGCGCAACGGATTACTTACACCCGGGTGAACTCCATCGTCGGATTGCGGGTCGAGCATCATTGGCCTATTCAGGCTTCCAAAGGCATACGAATAATCAAGGAAGGGGATCCGCACGGATGTGCATTTTTGGTCCAGTGCAGACGCTATAAAGTGAACAAGATATACTACTGCATCTAATTTAGAACGCTGGGGTCTATATGCAAACAGGTAGATGTCGTCACCAGGGGTGGCCGTGAAATTAGCCGGTTTTCGTACGCTTTCAGAAGCCTAGATGTACGCGCAATCGGGCGATACTTTGAGATCTATTTTTGGCTAGTGGGGTTATCTTGGCCAATCTGCAAATGCTGGGATTTTACCCATAGTTTGTCATTTTGTTAAAGAGGTCTGTTAAAGGCGAGAGAGCATCCGGACTACTAGCTTTGTTTGCTTCTAATCTTTTGCTTTCCTTGTGAACATCGTTTTGGTTGAAGGACACAGCTAGACTTGAGCTAATGGATGGTGGCAAGCAGGGTGCGTTTGGTGAGACAGAGTTAAGCTTATAATTTGGTGTGTCCACATCCACTTCCCCGCTCCGGCTCCATGCGGGAAGACCGTTCGCCCTGTCTTAATTGTGTCTAACAATCCCGTGGTGGCAGTTTTCGACAGGTAGGCAGCTTGTCAACATTCACACCAAGCACAACAAAATGGCCTGTGGCCGATTGGTCTGCGCACCTGGTTTACCACCATAAGGTCACCGGTTCGCATCCGCGTAAGGGTGGGCGTCCTCGTGATATACTCAGCCCGCGTGCGACTGATAGTGGTCGCGCGGCAGCGAAGCGCCGTTACGGCCTACACTGGACACATCATCACAGCAAACTGGGACAAAATAATCTCACAAACTCACGCACCAACCAACAGCTGGAACGATGCAACACGCGTGCTACATCTGCCTCATTGTTGGACCGGGTTGGTAAATGGAACCCGAAGTAGCATACTTACCATGCGCCAAACTTTACCCATTCAACTTGTTTGTCGCCTCTTCGATAGTAGCCTCTCGTGACCACACTGGTAGCTTACTAGATCTATTCGACTGAGTCACACGACCGCACCTGCTAGAACACCAGGTGCCAGGCTCCTTTAGCATCTGACGCTTGCGGGACTGGCGTTCTTCTGAAATGATAAAAGTGGTGGGAAGAAATTGTAGTGATCACTTAAGACGTGCGGTTACTCAGGTTCACGAGAATGGACTACCGCATCAGGAAAGGGAACGTGCATGAGTTTGTGCTGTCGCATGTTTGACAGCGTGTGCCGGTTGGTAGCTAAAATCTGATTATGCTTGTCTGTGTGTATCTTTCGCGCTTTCCTACAAGCACTTTCTTGTTCATGAATCTTGCTCTTCTTTATCCTTTCCCACTCAGCTAACTTCACGCAGTGATATAAACTCCAGCTTTTTCTTTATTATCACCCCCGTGCTTCTTTTTTACCCAACAGGTACACTTTCCATGTGATCTTTTATGTCCTTTCGTATGCACGCATGCCTGGCTACTGATCATATTATGGACTCTCGCTCTCACATCAATTTCGCCAACTTGTTCTTATCCATCAGTCATGTGACTGTGGTATCGTGGGTTGCAGGCGTTGGATTGTTATTTTCCTCCCCTCAGGTCACATGAAACTATTTATGCGGCTAGATCAGCTCTCTGTCTCTCGCGCTCATCTGGATTCCATTCTGTGGGTTGTATCGACTCGCGATCTTTGCACGCACATTCATTTGTAGATGTTTGTTTTACTCCAGAGTTCGCTTGATTTTTGTTTATTCTGATTGAGGCCGATTTATCAGCGTTGGGGAATGCTGTCCGTCTGACCTGTTCCTGCTCACAGTCAGCCGTTGCACGGCTTGCAAAGGTGAGTCTAGAGATCATGATAACACAGGCCCAGTTAAATGTGCCAACACTGAGATGTTCTCTGAAGCTGGGGCCGCATTTGTTTATTGCTCTGCTATCGACTCACTACCCGAGCGCGGTGTCATGTCCAGCAGATTAGCGAAGAGAGCGATACACACAGATTATTGTAGCAGTTAA